GTGTTGACAGTCATGGTCTGTAGAAGTTCAGCGCATGTAGCATTCAAAGCCTTTACCCATTTCCTTCAACAGCCTGGCCATTCCCCGAGAGGAGGGGACCCAGCCGGGCTAGAACCGTGGCATCTCGGAAATTAGTCCTTCGTCTTCTTTGGAGACCCTGGATGAGTCTAGTATCTGGGTGCAGAGGCCCAGTATGTTGTAACGTTTATAGAGTTGGACTCGGTTCTGTAAGGCCTGGGTTCAAATCCTCACACTCCCAAGGAAGCTCGCTGGGTGAGCTTGGGCCAGTCACACACTCAGCCTAAACTACCTCACTGAGTTGTTGCCAAGATAAAATGGAAAGGAGGAGAATGATGTCAGCTACTTTGGGTCCCCGTTGGAGGAAAAGGCTGGACAAACAAATAATCTCGTCTGAGCTTTCTCTTTCTTATGACCCCTTTCCCCAGAGGCCTCACCATTTAGCCTGTCTTTAAAAGCAAAATGGTGGTTTATGGGTGACGCAACTGCATTTTCTTACGTTCTTGACTGCCCTTGATGTCTCCCCTGTTCTCTCTGATAGCTTCGATTTCTCCTTCCCTCACGTCGTCTATCACTCTCTTGTTGGTAAGAGTTAGATTGTAAACTGAGGGGGGCAGAGCCCTAAACCGTTTTTGCTGATTCTACTCTGTAATTCCCAAAACGCATGAACTGTGTAATAATGATGTTGCTTCATCTCAGTATTTAGCACTGCTGTATCATATATACTTATCTCAGCACTGCGTTCAGGTAGATAGGTAGGTAGGTAGGTAGGTAGGTAGGTAGATAGGTAGATAGGTAGATAGGTAGATAGGTAGATAGGTAGATAGGTAGATGGGTAGATGGGTAGATGGGTGGGTGGGTAGGTAGGTAGATAGGTAGATATGTAGATATGTAGATAGATGATAGATAGGTAGGTAGGTAGATAGATAGGTAGATAGGTAGATAGGTAGGTAGATAGGTGGGTGGGTGGGTAGGTAGATAGGTGGGTGGGTAGATAGGTAGGTAGGTAGGTAGGTAGGTAGGTAGGTAGATAGGTAGGTAGATAGGTAGGTAGATAGGTAGGTAGGTAGGTAGGTAGGTAGGTAGATAGGTAGATAGATAGATAGATAGATAGAGATAGATGATAGATAGATAGATAGATAGATAGATAGCTATAGATAGCTATAGATAGCTATAGATAGCTATAGATAGATAGATAGATAGATAGATAGATAGATAGATAGATAGATAGATGATAGATAGATAGATAGATAGATAGATAGATAGATAGATAGATAGATAGATAGATAGAGGAGAGAGCAGGTTTTTTTAACTTGCAGAGTCTTTTATGCAGGGAAGCATTCAAAGTGTGATAATTTTTTTCGCCCACAGTCTGAAGCGGTATCGACCAGTCTGGCATTCCACCACTTCAGTCTCTGCATTTATAGCTCTACCGTACAACAGCCCTGTACAGTAGGCCAGTTGTATCTCCTCCGTAGTGTAAATTGGAGGGGGGACTGAGGCAGAAGGACAGAGGCCTTACCTGTGAGATCACGTAGACGATAATTATGACATAAGGGGATCTGGGGGACTCTCGACCCGACTCATGTCACGGCTCACCCGCTAAACATCAGGGAACTTCCAAAGGCCGCAGGGCTGGATTTGGCGTGCAAGCACAGACTGGGGGAGAACAAACTTCAGCCTTCCCTCCCAAGCCTTCCAGTAGCAATGAAGAGCCATTGTGGTTTAGCGGTTTGAGTGTCAGACTAGGATCTGGGAGACCCAGGTTCGAATCCCCACTCTGCCATGCAATGAATCCCCACTCTGCCATGCAAGTTCGCTGGGTGACCTTGTGGGCCAGTCACACATTCTCAGCCTAGCCTACCTCACAGGGTGGTTGTGAGGATAAAATGGAGGAGAGGAGAACAATTAAAGCCCCTTTTGGGTCCCCATAGGGAGAAAGGTGGGGTGTAAATGAGCTGATAATAATAAGAGATTGGATTTATACCCCACCCTTCACTACCCAAAGGAGTCTCAGAGCAGCTAACAATCCATTTCCCTTCCCCTCCCCACAACAGACACCCTGTGAGGTAGGTGGGGCTGAGAGAGCTCTCTCGAGAACTGCCCCTGAGGGAACAGCTCTGAAAGAACTTGTGACTGACCCAAGGTCACACCAGCAGCTGCATGTGGAGGAGTGGGGAATCCAACCTGGTTCTTCCAGATTACAGTCCGGGCTCTTAACCACGCAGGCAGACAGACCGACAGACAGACAGACCACACTGTAGGGGGTTGTAGGTGTTGGAGGGTTGGAGCCAGATGTGGGAGACCCCAGTTCCAATTCCCACTTGAAGCTTTCCTTTGGGCCAGCTACCCTCTCCCAGTCCCCACCTAGCCTACCTCACAGGGTTGTTGTGCGGGTGAAATGCAGAAGAGGCCTGGTGAGGCACCCAGAGCTCCTGGGAGGGGGGAATGAAAAAGTAGGACACCCATCCTCGATCTCTCTGGGCCAGGGGCTTGGGCTGCTCCACTCTGCTCCTGGGAGGGGTATATTCTCCACGCTGGGGCCTTGGAAGGCTGTGGCAGGCGGCAGGCAAGGGGATGACTCACTCCTCGGAGCGCTCCCTGGAAACGGCGGCGTGACAGCCGCGGAGGCAGCCAAGGACTGACGCCCAGGGGTGGCCCCTGCCGGGAGAGGAAAAGCGCATTGTCCCCGGGCGGTGGGGGGGGGGGGGGAGCCCGTCTGCGTCTCGCACGTCGCTGAATAATTCATCGGCCGGCCGGCCGGCCAGGTAGATGGACGGGCGCCGGCCGAAGCAACTCAGGCGCGGTTCGGTCTAGGAAAGCGCTCCGCCCGCGGCGTCTCTACTCTCAAGGAGACACGGGACGGCAGTCCGCGTCTTTCAAGCTGCCTTCCCTCACCCGGCCCACCCAAGGAGATGAGAATCCCGGCCTCCTCTGCAGGGCAGTTGCTACCGTAGCGGTGGATGTCGAGCGCTTTGAACGCTGAAAGCGCTATACAAATGCTAACTCTCTTGATTACAAGAAAAGGCGTCTCCACAGGATGGAAATTACTGTTCAGTAAAGGGGCTCAGGGTCTTTGCCTCACCTCCGTTGAGTCCCCAGGTAAAATCAAATTACCTGGACTTCCCCCCCCAAAACCCGTCCCCTATTGCCTGGAAAGCCCATTAAACAGGGTTGCCAGCTCCAGGCCAGGAAATTCCTGGAGATTGGGGGTGCAGCCTAGAGAGGGTGGGGTTTGGGGAGCGGAGGGAACTCAGCGGGGTGTAAGGCCACCGAGTCCACGCTTCAAAGCAGCCCTATTTTCTCCAAGGGGACTGATCTCTTGTCGCCTGGGGATCAGTTGTAATTCCGGGAGATCTGCAGGCCCCCACCTGGAGGTTGGCAACCCTGGACGCGGCCCGACCCGTACAAGCTCTTGGGTCAAAATAAACGCGTGGATAAAATTCAAGCAAGTAATGCAGGTTTCCTACAGTTCCGCCCGGGATGCCGCTTTGCGAAGTCCTCCCAGAAAGGAAAGAATGGTCAAGGGACAACGTAAGAACATAAGAGAAGCCAATGTTGGATCAGGCCAATGGCCCATCCAGTCCAACACTCTGTCACACAGTGGCCAGAAATACAAGGGGCCATCAGGAGGTCCACCAGTGGGGCCAGGACACCAGAAGCCCTCCCACTGTTGCCCCCCCCCAAGCACCAAGAAGACAGAGCATCCCTTGCCCCAGACTGAGAGTTCCTATCTATACCTTGTGGCTCATAGCCACTGATGGATCTCTGCTCTTAAGAACATAAGAGAAGCCAATGTTGGATCAGGCCAATGGCCCATCCAGTCCAACACTCTGTCAGACAGTGGCCAAAAATACCAGGTGCCATCAGGAGGTCCAGCAGTGGGGCCAGGACACTAGAAGCCCTCCCACTGTTGCCCCCCCCCAAGCACCAAGAAGACAGAAGAGTGTAGCTCTGAGTCGGAGCACGTGCTAAGCAGCAAGCACAATCAGACCGTTGGGATTAAAAGACAGACCTTCCAGGAACCTTTGAGCCCCGGCACCTCTTTTTCCCACCAGGGCTTTGAAATGAATGTAATTGAACTGGATCGGGGCTTCATCGCGGCTTCGGTCTTTGCCTGCACGGGGCCTCGGAGCAGAAACCACCACAGGCAACGCGATCGACTTCCGACCGAGTCAGGGTTTCTTAGGATCGCGCTGCGTGGGCCGCGGAGTCCGCCCACGTGCTTCGGCTCGACTCTCATTCTGCAGCCCCAACCACAGCCCGAAACAGGCCTGCTGCAGAACGGGGCCCAGAACGTCCATCGAGTCCAGAACCTTCATTTCAGACGCAGAGTCCCTCCCTTCCGTCCTTTGTCCTCCCCAGCAACCCTTTACTGAGGTACACTGCCCCTGGATGGGGAGGCTTCGTGGACCTATCACGACTAATAGCCATTGGCAAGACTCTATTTCTGAAATGGGGCCCGATCCCCATGTAAAACTAGAGTCCAGGGCTACATCCAGGGGTATCTGAAGAAGTGAGCAGTGGCTCACGAAAGCCCCTAACCTGTCACCAATTTTGTTAGTCTTTCCGGCGCGACTGGACTCTTGCTGTTTTCTGCTGATCCAGTGGCAGGGAGTTCCACGGCACCCTACCGGCTCGAAACAAACAACGGGGCAGACTCTTGGGTCCCAATCCAAGTTCTCGATCGCTTCCAGCGGCTGGAGGAGAGGGGAAATGATATCCCGCTAACGAAGGAGTAAGCCCCACTGAGCTGACTGCATTCCACTGCAATCCGTCGGCTGCCTCGCAAGCACGCTTCTTCCTCCTCCCCCCCTCCTCCTCCCCCCCCCTCCGGGACCCGCCACCAGGCGCCCCCAGCCTCCCAAGGGCTGGGGAAGTGAGCCTCCTTTAGACTCCAGGCATGTCGAGAGAGCTGTGAGATCACCCGGGTTATAAATATCTCCGTGCCAGCGCTGCGCTCTCGGAGCGCGCTCTCCCTCCGGCGGGCCGACGATGCCTTCCCAGGCCGGCCGAGCGGACGCCCGGCCGCCCCCAAGGTGCAGCAGCAGCCGCCCCCTCCTCTGCAAAATGCCCCGCGCTTCCCCCCGGCTGGAAGAATGAGCTTGTCCTGCCTCCTCTGTCTCCTCTGCCTCAGCCACCTGATCCTCTTCGCTTGGGCACACCCGGAGACGCGGCGGCCCCCCAGCGCGCAATTCCGAGACGCGGCGCTCCGTGCCAAAAACAGCAGCAGCAGCAGCAGCAGCAGCAGAAGCGGCGGCAGCAGCAGCAGCTCGGAGGATCGGAGCACCGCTTCGTCCTCCTCCTCCTCCGCGCCTTCCTCTTATTTCTCCCCCGCTTGGGGAGTTCCAGGCAGCGGCTTGGACCGGAGCAGTTTCCAGTGGAGCCCCTCCGGGCGCAGGACCGGCAGCCTCTACTGCCGGGTGGGCATCGGCTTCCATCTCCAGATCCACCCAGATGGGAAAGTCAACGGCTCCCACCAAGCCAGCCTCTTGAGTGAGTAGGGGGAGCGTCCTCTCCGGCACCTTGCATTGGGGGGGGGGAGCTGTTATTTCACGCAATAGCTTGGCCGTCCTCTGTGTGTTTTAACAGGTATTTTGCTGACTGGTTTGGAGTGGAGATTTTTGTGGGGGGAGGATTGCTTTTGATCCATCGTGTGTCTATTTTTCAAAGTGCGATTTCTTTCGCAATGGGGCTACCGGTCCCTATCCGTCAGGCCTGGCGCGCTAGAAACTCATCCCGACCTATAGAGTCAACCCACTAGCGAGGAGGGAGCGCTTGGCCCCTTGTCTGTGAGCGCACTCCCTCGATGGACATCTTGCCAAGGCTCCCTCTAAGCTGTGGAGTCTGTGAGCAAAAATTCTATTTTGTGAGCTACTAGCATTAAAGCTGTGAGCGAGCGATTTGACTACCACACAAATTAGTTTGCTCTGGAGCCCTCCTTCCTGAGCGAAGACAAAAATCTGTGCGCTGGAGGCCAAAAAACTGTGAGCTAGCTCACACTCACTCAGCTTAGAGGAAGGGAACACCGGTTGCCCCCTGTTTCAACGGGCTGTGGATCGCGCTCACAGGCGGACGGAATCGCCCCCCCCCCCAAGTTGTCTTCAGTTCGAGCTGATACAGGTCCGAGTTAAGGGGGATAAGAAAGCCGGGATCCCGGTTTGCTTGTCAGGTGCACTCTTCTTATATGCATACCCTGGATTGGAAAGACTGGAACCCAGGGTCGCGCTAGACCGGTGCGATGGCCCAAGGCCAGAATAAAAGGGAAAGTCTGTGGCATGCGCGTCCATTGAACAGCGCCAGAGCAAAATCGGTTTCGCTTTCATAAACCGGGAGGGGAGGGCTTTTTGCCGTCCAGCCCAAACTCCCTCGCTTCACCTCACACTCCCACGCCTGTTTTCCTAATGAACACTGCAAACCCAAAACAGGTCTACTTCGAAGTAATCCCCGCTTATTCCCTGGCGCTTGTTCCCAGGAAAGAATTCTTAATGCAAGCTTAGAACCCATGGTGACAGTGGAAACGGCAGCGAAGTCGCCGCCGAGTTATAGCGACCCTGTAGGGCTTTCAAGGTAAGAGCCGTTCAGAGGTGGGGTTTTTTTTGCCGTCGACTGCTTTCGCGTGGAGCCCTGGACTTCCTTGGCGGTCTCCCATCCAAGTAGTAACCACGGCCGACCCTGCTTAGCTTCCCGATATTGAGCTAGCCAGGGTCAGGGCAAAAATCCCTAGTGCTGGTTAGAAAAAAGTGAAGGCGACGGGCACTGTTGCAAAAGACGGTAATCTATCGGGCAAGGCTCGGCCAATAGGGACCGTCGGAAGCTGACCGAACGTTCCAAGTGCAAATTAAGCGAGTGCGCAATAGTGAAAAGGGCAAGCGGGCGAGGACTAGGCGACGGGGCGCCCAGCAACATCCCGAGTTCCAGCTTTTCCCGGACCGCACCAACGTGTGCCGCACGTAGGGAAGGGGTTGCACGCTCGGATGTCCCCCCCCCTCCAAACCACTCTGTACGTTTAGAACTTCCGCGTCAGGAAGAAACCTGCTGCTGGCGTCTCTTCTCCCCTGGATGTTGTTTGTCTACATGCAGGGAGTTCTTTTTCTCCGGGGGGAGCGACGAAACATGGAGCTCACCCCTGCTGCATTGAATGGTACAAGCCGAGGAAAGCTTTCTCCTTTGATTCTGCGGGGCGTAGAAAGGTGATCCTTAGTGCATAGTTGGCAAAAATGAAGAGAAACCGTTAAAAAAAAATAGGCCTGGAGCACTGGGGAGCGAGAAGGATTCTCAAACACATTCTAAGATTATTTCAGCCCCTGGAACTTTTATTGTCCCAGTTCAGGTTATTTCCCCCACCCTTATATCACCAAAACCAAATGAGAAGGGAGCACTCACTGGAGAAGACCCTGATGCTGGGAAAGATTGAAGGTCAAAGAAGTCGGGGACGGCAAAGAATGAGATGGTTAGACAGTGTCATAGATGCAACAAACATGAAATTGAGCAAACTTCAGAGGACGGCGGAAGACAGGAAGGCCTGGCGGGATCTGGTCCATGGGGTCACGAAGAGTCGGACTCGACTGTGCGACTGAACAACAGCAACAAAGAAGGAAGCAGTCTTTCCTACATGAAAAAAGGATTGCCTGAAAGCCTGAGGTTTTTTTCCAGAATTTCAGCTGTCCAGAACACTTCACTCCAGCTTTGAAATCTAGAGCAGTTATTTATTTATTTATTTATATTCATATCCTGCCCTCCCCTCACAGCAGGCTTAGAGCAGGTTCCATCAATAGACTATACAATAGTTAAAAACAGTTTAAAGTACATGAAATAGCTATAGTGCAATTTCTATATCCCATCAGAGCCTCGACAGATGTATCCTATCATGATTGGGTTCCAGAGGTTACCCAGATTTGTAAAAAAGGTAAAGGTTTCCCTTGCTTGAAAACCAGTCGAATCCGACTCTAGGAATGCGGTGCTCGTCTCCGTCTCCAAGCCGAAGAGCCAGCACTGTCCAAAGCATTTCCGTGGTCATGTGGCCGGCATGACTAGACACCTATATACTTTGTGGCTAATAGCCACTGATGGACCTCTGCTCCATATGTGTGTTCTGTTTATTTATTTGTCATATTTCGAGTCTTGCTTGAGGCAGCCATTTACCTTTCTTATCTTTCATCTAAAAACGTCAAAGCAAAAACGTCAAAGCAAACAGAACAATAGGAAATGTACTAAACATTTCAAAAAGAGCCGAAGCATCGTGAGAGATAGGCTCGCACAAGAGAAGAGCAGCTAGAGCAGAGTTAGCAGAGACCCATTAATCACAGTCCCCAGTTATGACAAGCCACCTGAAACAGGGAAGGCAGCATCACCTTGCTTGAAAGCCAGTCGAATCCGACTCTAGGAATGCAGTGCTCATCTCCGTCTCCAAGCCAAACAGACAGCGCTGTCCAAAGCATTTCCGTGGTCATGTGGCCGGCATGACTAGACACCTATATACTTTGTGGCTAATAGCCACTGATGGACCTCTGCTCCATATGTGTGTTCTGTTTATTTATTTGTCATATTTCGAGTCTTGCTTGAGGCAGCCATTTACCTTTCTTATCTTTCATCTAAAAACGTCAAAGCAAAAACGTCAAAGCAAACAGAACAATAGGAAATGTACTAAACATTTCAAAAAGAGCCGAAGCATCGTGATAGGCTCGCACAAGAGAAGAGCAGCCAGAGCGGAGTTAGCAGAGACCCATTAATCACAGTCCCCAGTTATGACAAGCCACCTGAAACAGGGAAGGCAGCATCAGGGGCTGAACGACCAGGAGAGATGAGGCGAAATACAGGGGCCGGGAGAGTGAATTCTGCCATTCCAGAGCAGCTCCTGCCTTGCCCTGGACAGCCTGAGTCAGCCTGATCTCATCAGATCTTGGAGGCTAAACCAGAGATGCCGACCTCCGGGGGAACCTGGCAATCCCCCAATTACATCTCACCTCCAGACCACAGAGATCAGTTCCCCAGGAGAAAATGGGAGGCTTTGGAGTGTGGACTCTATGGCATCGTACCCCTCTGGGGTCCCTGTGCTCCCCAGGCACCCCCCCAAATCTCCAGGGGTTTCCCAACCTGGATTTGGCAGCCCTACCCCACCCCACCCCGTTCCCTGCCTGTGGCCAGGGCGGACCTGGCAACCCTCACCCTCATTAGTACCTGGATGGGAGTGTTAAGTCGCTCGCTTAACAAAGAAGTCGGAGAGTGATTCAGCAAGAACACAACTTTATTCTTCAACTCGAACACAACTCGAACACGGATCAACATCTGACAGCCAGAACAGAACAGTTCAGCTTTTACATTGCAGTTGTCCTGCTTTTAAACTCTCCCAGCTAATGTAGCCACGCCTACTGTACAATTACCAACCAATAAGGTTGTATGCATAAGGACCAATCACGGACGTTCCCGCTCAGGGAGCTTGCTGACAAGTGATTGGTTGGTTCTTCCTGGGCTAGCAATGCGATTGGATGGATTTGGATCCTAGCTCAGGACAAAGCTCAACATGCCAAGTCAATTAGATGTTTCACATACATCATGCATTCAATGGCAGCTATTGAATACATTACAGGGAGACCACCCAGGAAGTCCAGGATTGCTATGCAGAGGCAGGCAATGGCAGACACACCTCTGTTCATCTCTAGCCTTGAAACCCCCTTGAAAAGTTGCCAGAAGTTGGCTGCGACTTGCCGGCACCTTCCGCCTATACACGAAGCAACGCCTGCTCCTCGCAGAGGGCAATCTTGCCTCTGAATGTCTCTGCGTTCTTCGCTGGGCCTCTCCTGCCGATCTCAAGTTTCAGGAATCAGCATTCTGTCAGGCAAAGCCCCCCGAACTGTGGCCTGAAGCGGCATAGCCCAGGCACAGCGTCGGGAATGCCTTTGCCCCACATGCCAACCGGATCTTGTTTTGCACATGCAAATCACAAGGCACTTAAGCCCTTGCAGTAGCTCCTGTCAGCCAGGAGTCCTGCTCCCTTTTTTCCTAAGAAAACAGGAGTCTCTCACGGCACCTGAATGATTCACAAGCATTTATTCCAGTGTAAATCTGGAAGGGGCCACAGGAAGCCCATTTCTTTGCTAGCGGAGACAAACGAACACAGCTACCCTTCAGGAATTCTTATCCTAAGTACATCTATGGATGATGATGATGAAGAATTCTGACAGCATGGCAACAATTGAAGCATAGACCTGAAAGGAGGAGGAGGAGGAAAAGAAGAGAAGAGATTGGATTTATACCCCACCCTTCACTACCCAAAGGTGTCTCAGAGTGGCTTACAAATTCCTTTCCCTTCCCCTCCCCACAACAGACACCCCATGAGGTAGGTGGGGCTGAGAGAGCTCTGACAGAAACTACTCTTTTTCAAGAACACCTCTGACAGAACTATGGTTTGCCCAAGGTCATCCAGCCAGGTGCAAGTGGAGGAGTGGGGAATCAAACCCGGTTCTCCCAGATTAGAGTCCGCGCACTTAACCACT